GGGAAGTAGTAGTGATATATCGGTGAAGTGTGGGGGGGACCCTAGGAATGACCATCTAATGGGTTAGCGGTGGCATTATTAGCCTAAATAGGCAAGGTATACTCTAACTGTGGAAGGCCGCAGGCCGCGGAATTTGAGGGGCTTTAGACTTTAAAGTGCTTGCGCATGCTTGGGAGTTGTTCGGAAAGCCGATGGCCTGCGGGCTGCGAGTCGCGACCCGACGGTTGCGAGCCCGACAGCTGCGAATCGCGAACAAAGCCGCAGCGCACGTCTGCTCAATTGAAGACGTGATGGGGAGGAGTCGCGGGTGCACAGCAAAAAAGGTTAAAACAACGAATAACAAAAATACAAAATCTTTGCCAAAAACGACAGGCCTAAAGACATAAATATAGAAACAACGATTGCAACATGAAGAAATAAGGAAAAGACGAAGCATTAAAAATTGAATTACGTAGCCAAAAATAAAACAAGCAAAAACATGATGAACGCTCGCTGTGAGTTTGTATTTTGATCAGCATTTCTTTTTAAGGTATCTCGAAACGAACTGCAGTGCTGCATCGCCGGCTCAAACTTCAGAAAAGCGCGCGCGCACACACACATTGCTGACTTTGCTTAGCTTGCATAAATATTAACACTTTTTCTCGTCCCCCCACACCCTGGGCAGAGCCGCGTACTCGCAACGCATCTGTTGCCTTGCTGTGAGTATCTTCGAACAATGCTTCGCAATGCATTGCATCCCGGCAACATTTGCGATAAATGAGGAGTGAATGCTTCATGTCGTTTGGCTGCTGGTGCTTGTGAATTATTAAAGAACGAAACAACACACAAACAAGGAACAAACAGCGAACTCAGCGATCCACAAAATGACAGAAACGAGGACAGCAAAAATTGATAATGAGTAAAGCAAGAAAAAGACAGAATGGACTCTTTTTTTTCGTTTCGATGTTCTGGCACATCCTTGATGGTTCCGGCGCAAGGTTGCTGCATGCAGGAACTGTAGGATTTGGTAAATCAAATCGTAAAAGTCGTAAGTAGTGTGCGTTTCACATCCGAGTTTACGTAGCTGGATGATTGGAAACATCAGTTTCCCGAATTTATATATTCGCTTGTATTCACACTACTGCCATGATATGGCAACCTAATTGGCTCGATCCATTACCCTGTGTGGCACAGGCACATTCTTCCACACATCGAGGCCTGTATGCGGAACGTCCCCAGTGGCAGAGAAGTACAAAACCGAAAGACGATCATGTTGGCAGAAGAGGCCGTCAGGTGCCTCAAATGGCCATGTCCTGAAAAAATAACGACAGTATTGTTTCTGGAGCACGAACCAGCACCTTGATGTTGGTTATCTGGAACAACTGCAGACGAGCATCCTGTTCATGAAGTCCGTGCTTGAATTGCGGCGTTTTGGTTTGACAGTGTTCGCATCAGACCTGGGTGTACCCGACTGAAGGCAGGGTTAATCTGCCGAGCGCATGCATACGCTTGAAACTCATCAGTCCTTAACTTGCAAACTCGCAGCATTTTTCGTCCCCGACAGGTTCCACGGTTGGTATCAAGATGGCCGGATGCTGAGCGTACATCACAACGTTTGTTTTTTCACTTTTCCCAGCGGATTTCATTCGTGCTGTGCCTGAAGGCATTCTCGAGGAGTCCGCTGCTGGTGGATATCTCAGTCGACGCAAAAGGCGTACAGATGTAGCATGAGCCAGTCAGAGGATACTGGAGGCTCACAGTCTTATCGAGTTGGTCGGTCTTAGTGATTACTCTCATGAGCTGAGACACCAGTCGGATTGTGCCCTGAGGCGGTTAGCCTGATCGCTTGCTCTTTGCTGCCGCGCTGGCATGTTTCTATCGAGATCCCATTAGGGTACAGTAATGGTCCTGTTTTTCTTTGGTGCTTGCCAGGCTCCTCTGCCCAAGTGCCTTCCTCTCGGCGCCCTCGCAGCGTGTTGGTCTTGGAGCTGCCGCGCCCCTTTGGCCTTTGGTGCCGCACAGCATCCATGCTCCGTCTCGGTGCCAACGACTTTTCTTCTCCTGCCCAGGCTGCTGCAACTGCTGCGTGTCTCCGGCTCGTTTGTCTCTAGAGACCCAGAAGCCCGAACTCCAAAGAGCTCGCTCTTCGTCTTGTGCCTCCGCCAGCTTGGCCCCTGCGGCTCCGGCATTTGCTGGCGAGCCGCCCAGCGTCGGAATCCACTGGCGCCCCCTGTGACACACACAGACACACACACACACAACATAGAATTAGATTGAAGTTCCTCAAACTCCTTATCCGAAAGGCCGCTGAATCCAATACCCAAGTGGACCCAGCTAGTAAGCTAGCAGGGAGAATGTGTGTTTTGCCTTAGCGATGCCGAGTTCTTGAGACCTTAGCAGGGTCTGGCCGGACGTAACAGGAAGCTTGACTTATGGGAGCTGTCGATACTTTGGGATTTGTGTTGGGGGTCCTTGACCACGTGAGCGAAGGGTGCTCGTCGTGTGAATAGCATTATCGAATCATCAGTACTATAAAGAGATTTGTTTCCCAGCGCGCTTCATCAGAGATATCGTTCGCGGCCTGAGTCGTTCATGCTGCTGCGATGCCACTCTTAGGCTCGAGTCTACAGCATGCCTGAAGCTCCATCGCCAAAGCCCAGAGTCCCGGCAGGTACTGGGATCTCGGCATCGGAAACCTGCATGGCGAGGTGGCTGTTGTCATCTTCTGGGCACACAGCCAAGACATCCCAAAACGTGACAGCCAGAATCCCGCAGAAGATGGCTTTGTGGCCTTGTCTTTAGGTCTTCTTCGTGCTCGTCGTCTTCGCTGCAGCGGGCGCCGGTGGCGCTCCGTGGCGTGCTTCACCAAAATACCGTAACTTTTTTTTCGTCAGCTGACAAGAGCCACGAGGGTCTTTTGTGGCTTCTTACATGCCAGGCTCAAGCAGAAAGGCTGCCTAAGCCACCGACCAAGAGCAGCGGACTCGGAAGATGCAGGCTGACGAAGCTCCGCACGGATCCGTTCTTGAGGTGTCCTGAGAAGCAGTTTCGCATCACGGGGCCCTGAGTCGATGTCAGAATAGGATGGAGCCAAGGCTAGTCTGAGAGGATGTCGGGTGAACGGCCCATGTCATTACTGCGCGCGGCGCCGTTTTTTCTTGTTGCGGGGATGCTGTCGTGAGGGCAGGTCGATGGGGGCGAAGATACTAGGAGCATGTCTTGCCATATCTTTGAGAGCCAGTTGAGGCACTCGCATAAGTGACAGCAGCCCTTGGTAGTCCGATTTTGGCCAATTCTTCTGAACTGCTCACGCTGCACATGTTGGCCGAGCTCGCGCGCGGGACACCGACAAAAACGCAGAGCGACTCCCGGCTCTGCTGGCTCTGGTCTTGGCAGCCCCGGAGCTGCGGCCCGAGATTGCAGCGTTCTGCGAGAGCCACGTGGCTGGAAATGGCCGGGGGCGCCGCATCGCTGCAGATCGCAGGCCACCTCCCCTTCCGAGTTTCCGAGCTGTGGTCAGCCGTTGTGCTCGCCAGGTCGTGAGGAGGCATGAGAAGACGAAGCGTGCAGGGCTTAGTCCTTGTGTGGGGGCGGGAGGGCCGCGGCTGCGGTCGCAGCGTCGAACTGAGGCGAGAGCCGCGCAGTCGTGAGCCTCCAGGTGGACGTTGCAGGGGATCTAGAATAGCCGCCAGCAGCCCGTGACGACGGTGGGCATGACAGGCAAGATGGTCGCCGAGCTCCAGGCAGTTTTTCCTCAAGACGGTGGTCGAAGGTCACATGTCCAGACGTTTTCCGAAACGACAGACTCATCCGGAGTAGCAACGGGGAACTCGATGCCGCGTGTCAGGTTGCTGGTGCCGCCTGGCCCCTCTCGACCATCGTGTGAGGCTAAGTTTGGTGAAGCCGCATGCCTTTGGCACAATCGCATGTCTTTGGCCCTGCCGAGGTCGCGCGCGTCCACCGCATCCAGAGGTAGCGTTTCGGGGAGCATGCAGTGCCATTTGTCATGACATGAAATGGCATGAATACATGGGCCCAGGCACTCCAAGGGGCAAGTCTCCAGCTGAGACAGCGCGGGAGCGGGAGCGGCCGAAAAGAGAGCAGCTGCCAAGGACTCTGAAGGCGGTCCTTGCACTTCCGAGCGCAGCCCCAAAGGCCCCCGCGAAGGACCCGAGGGGGAAGGGCAGCGCAGGGCAGCTGCCAACTCGATCTTGTTCGATCTCGCGCGAGAGCTCGCGGCATCTCGCGGCCGCGAAGGAGACCGTGGCCGGCGTGGCCGCCGTTTCCGCCGTGGTGCCGCGAGAGCGAGAGGCGCCGCCGACGCCGCGCCTCGGCAGCGAGGCTTCTGACGAGGCGAGCGGAAATCTGCCGGAAGCATCCCGCAGACAGCTCAGCCTCTCCCTCTTCCTCTCCCTCGCTTTGCTTCGCTCTCCTCCGTGATGGCTGTGGCAGTTGGCTGCCAGCATCTCGGTGCTGGATGTCGCCGGAACCGAGGATGTCTCGAGGGAGGTAGGACAGCGAGACTTGGACTTTCCACGCAAAGGGGGTGCGTTCCAAATCGAGGCGTTGGTCAGTGTCATGCATCCTCCGTCTTCGATTGCAGACCAGGCACTTTCGAACGCAGCTTTTTCCTTGCCAGCAACAAGACAAGACTGGATTTCTGTTGAGGGCCGACAAGCTGTCTCCGACCTCTTCGCCTGGATGCGACCACTCAGGAGCACGCGCCCAAAGGTGTCCTGCTTTCTGAGACGCAAGAGCAGGGCGATCCGAGGTGGGAACTACGCTGCCAAAGGCTTGACCCGACTTGCCTTCGAGATTGAGGAGAGATCACAGGAGCCTTTAAGTGCTTTGTGCCGCAGCTGTGATCCTATGTGTGCAAATATGTCTCTGACAGGAGTGGAGCGCCTACCTGGGAGGTCGTTGCACCAGGAGAGTTCCACTAGCGGTCGGAGTGGTTGCCCTCAAGTCATCCAACTGATCTCTTGAGAGCTTTGACATGCTCTGACACGGAGGAAGGAGTCCCTGGATGTGGCTGCTGGGGAAGCAGCGGCAGCCTCAGTCCTTGAGCCAAGCTTCGCGGCAGTTCGCGAGCCGCATCTGACAGGTGCCGCCAAAAGACTTCTCGTCAACGGCGGAAGCAGCATCCCTGTCATCCTGGCCAGTTGGTCAAGGGTTATTAAAGATCACCCACACAAAGTCTTCTCAAAAAAATCATCGTTTTCCCATCTGCGCTGTGAAACGGCTGTGAGTCTCCAGGGCCCTTGCTTGCCACGGGCACAGCTGCCAGGATGCTTCGGGTAGTTCGGGCCCTGCCCCGGGGCTTCGCGCTGCGCACGATGCTCGAGCCGCTGCTGCAGGCAATGAGGGAAGGTTGCAAGGTTTCGGGTTCAGGGCCTTAGGGGGCACATGTGCTCCATGGACTACAAGCGCAGGAGCTGATGGAAGCAATCTTCTGCCAGCCCGGCCTGCTTACCCCAAAGGAGGGACGGGATCAGGAACCTCTTTGCCTCTGGCGTTTCCGTCCGCGATAGTAGCCAGTTCCTTCAGCAAGTGTGCATTCCGTCCTGCGTGGAGGTGAGTGGCCCAGGACCCTGCCGTCCCTGCAGGACAGCCTGTCGTGTGCATGCCGTATCAAGCTGTAGCATCCACCACAGACACAATCAGGTTTTGCGGATGATAGGTGTCGGGTTTAGGAGTTTAGGGAATGTGGTGCCTCAACGTGTCCCGATGATGCTTTCAGGATCTCAGGGAGGATGAGCTCTGGCCCGAACGGCTCGGCTCGGGGCCCCTCTTGGGCAGTTTCGTCTCGAGGAAATGCGGGCTTTGAGAGTCGAAGTGCTCAGGCCAGCTGAGCACCTACGCGCAGCTCGTCTCGGGCTACCGTGCTGCTGCCTCAGAAAGGGAGGAAAGGGCTCTCTGTCTGTTTTGCCTTGGAACGTGCGCAGCTCTGAAGGCAGGCCTGGAGGAGTCGAAGGCGGCCCAGAAAATTCTGGAGGAGCGGGAGCAGGAAGCGTGCTCGCCTCAGAGCAGCGCAAGCGACCAACGCCTTTCTCCTGCAGATTGGACCAGGTCAGCTTTGGCGAAATCCAAGTCGAAAGCTTTCGAGGCGAGGCTGGCATGGGCCGTTTCTCTCCCGAGTTGGGTCACCGGGCCCGGCTGTGCGCCGCAGAGGACCTGCGTGTCCGCATTCGCCGGCTGGAGGCCGCCTGCTTTTCGGCTCCCGGGGAGCGAGAGCTCTTGCCCCTTTTGCGACAGCTGGGGGCGATCTTTCGCGGAGGACGAGAGGGACAAGGCCAAGGCGGAGATGCAGCTCGCGAAGCGGGGTTGTCAGGAAGCCGAGGAGGCGCCGCGAAGCGAAGCGGCGGTGCGCAAGATGGCGCAAGCTTGGAAACCTTGCAACATATATGCCAGATGTACGAAACCTTCAAGCAGCAGACGAAGCTGGCGCTCATCGACTACTCCGATATGCAGTGCCTGCTCCAAATCGGAGAATGACTCTCTTCGCGCTGTCGGAGACTGCACAGGTACCGCGAGGCCACGATCAAGGCAGACTTGAGTTCCCTCAACATCCTGTGCAGAGAGAAGGTGGAGCTGTGTTTGAAAGCCACAGCATGCTGTCCTCACGTCGAATGATTTCGCTGCGCAGCGATGTGGCAGGATATCGCCATCCAAGATCTCCGGAATCAAGTGACCTTGTTGACACAAGAGAGCGCCGGGGGTCGTGTAAGCCTGCACAATCTTGCACATCTCGCACACTGATCACTGGCTCGTGATCGAAGTGAAGACATCTCTGCTTCTTTGCAGGACCCAGAATTTGGAGGAGAAGCTGCTGAAGGCACTGCTTTGTGTACCTTTTGTTAGAAGAATCTACTCTACAACGTGGCAGCTTCCACCGTACTCTTAAGTACTTCTCGAAACATTGTATGCGGTTCTCAACCTAAAGGCAAAGATTATACAATCGATCTGCACCGCAAGCACGCCCGGCGGTGCCTGTGTCGAGACGCCACGTTTTTTCGATGATGAACGTGTTCCAGAGAGTCCTGCTCGGGCCCCGTCCTCCGAAAAAATGCCCAATGGTAAATTCTACCACTCCGCCGTGGGAATCGTGCTCCCGCCACAGTCCCGTGGTGCTCTTAGCCTTCAAGTCGCTCGATCGGGGCCAAGCTATCTAGTCGGGGCTAATTGCTGTGATCTTGATGTTTTTCTCAAGGATTTCGTGCCTCCAACATTCGTGCTTTGGCCACAGGCCCGTGCACATTTGGAAGGACTGGTGCTTCCGCCAATGTGCGATGTGCGTTTTGGGGTGCCCAGCATGATAATGCGGCAGTGTGATGAGCAGTTTTGGCTCATGCGCTCGTCGCGTCTTGGGAGCTGGGGCGCTCCTGAACTGTTCTTGGGATGATGGGGTCGATGCACCTCGCTGCGAGTGACATGCTGGCTACTTGGAAAGGAGGATTTTCTCTACTGATGGGGTGCTGTAAGGGTTTCGAGCCAGATTGTGACTGGCTTGATTGTTTTGCAGAGGCAAGGGAGGAGCTCGAACGTCAAGCTGCGGCGGTGGAGCAGCTGCCGGTTCTGACTGACAAACTCCAGTGCCCCTGCGGGCTTTGCACAGCCAAAACATCCTTAACTGATCCCAGAAGTCGTGATTCCTTCTCTTCCAGAGGTACTACGAGCACCAAGAGGCCACGGCGAGAAGGGGTTCATGCCAGCATGCATGAGGTGGTGTCGAAGTCTCAATCAACGTCTTGTGGGAGGGGCTGCTTGGTGTGGCCTTTGCGGAACGTGTGTCGGAAGAGGCTCACTTCTCAGATTCTCAGTCGCCAGCTCCCATAGACTCTCGACGCTGTGATGTTTGATTTTTTTGAGAGAGCTTCTGAGGTCCTTGGAAGGAGCCTCGAAGAGATCGTCGTCGGAGACCGGGCGCTGAAGCCACTGCTCTGATGCTGCGTGGGGATGTCGTTTGCCGAGGGGAAGCTGCCCAGCAGCCTCACGAAGGAGCGCAAGACTTCAGCCTGGCGCCAAAGAGACGGGAAGGGGACGTGTTTTTGGAAGGGGTTTTTGCAAGGGGACCTGCCCGGAGTCGAAGAGTCCCAGTAGTCCAGTCCAGTGCAGTCCCGTCCCCGCTGAGATCAAGCTGGAAGCCGTGATGGAGGCGCTCCGTGGGGCCCACCGCGACGCGGAGAAGCTCAAAGAGCAGGCGGGGGCCCCGAACAGGGCAGGGGCCAAAAATGTCTGCTTCCTCTTCTGTCGCTCCGTCAGGTGGTGAAGCTCCGATATCTTCTGGAGGATGTGAAGCAGCTCGTGCCCATCTGGAACGAGAGTGCGATGCAGGCCAGTCTTGTCTCGGGCGACTCCACTCACCAGAGGGCATCCTCAGGATGTGGCAGATGCGTACGATGAGGATGCGGCCATCCACCGGCAGGCAAAGCAGCCCAGTGCGAACAACTGTCTGCCAAGCCGTGACCAGCATATGCAGCAGATGGCCAGTCCTTCAGACAAAGCGCAAGCATGAGACACTTGAGTCGTTCGAGGTCTACTCCATGAGCGACAAGCGCAGCTTCGCAGGGCGCGGTGCCGCAGACTGTGCCTCACCGGCCTTCCAGAGGGAACCTTCAAGCTTGACAGGCTTGGAGTGGACGACAGCGTACCTCCCTACCTGAGGGCGGAGGCGTGGACATTTTTCCCTGTGAGCCTTCTTTAGAAGTTTCCTTCGGTTTCTTACTTAGGGCTTGGTGCGGCATCGCTACATCTCGAAGAAGGAGTGCGAGGACTTGATCGAGAGCTTCCTCGCTGAGGCCCGGCCCCGATCGCTTTTTTCGGCCCCCTTCGGCCCCCTCTTCCGCCCTTCGGCCGGCCTCGGAGAGGCCCCGGCGGATCTGAGCACGCAGACCATGCACACGGAGCTCTACCAACACATGCAACGGCCGGGGGCCTTGGAGGAAAAAGCGCGCCCTTCAGATAAAGAGCTCCGCATTGCGCCTAGGCAGTTCACGGATCCAGAGGAGCTGACGGAGTTCGCTTATGCCTTCATCTGCAGCCTCGAGGCCGTCCCAGCAGTCTTGAAACAAGGCAGCTGCTGTTGCTGAAAAGAGCTGTCTCTTTGAGGAGTCGCGATGAAAAGGGCCCTATATAGTCAACAATAGAATATCATGCGATACATCTTTCGCATTCGCAGCGGCATCAGCCTTCTCTCAGCAGGCCTACAGGGACGACCCGGACTTCGAGATGCCCTGCTTGCTGTGTTGCCGGGAAGCGGAGGCCGCCTGCCCGGCGCCTGCCTGGCAGGTTCGACTTGATGCTGGCCGGGGCCGTGCATCCCTCCATCATGCAGGTCAGGTCGCCACGGCCAGAAAGCCCGTCACTCTCGGGAAGCTGTGTCGTTTAGGACCAGGAGACCATGCTCAAGGAGCTGCAGAACCTGGTCCACAACTGCGCCGACGGCCGGCTCTCGGGATCGCATCCATCGCGTACCCGCATCCGCCTGCTCCGCCTGCAGGCAACTTCGAGGGAGCGGGCCACGGGCGGCAGAGGCAAGGGAAGCGCGGAGATATTCAGGACACCTCTCGGCACCTGCGCCTTGAGCGGCAGGAGCACGCTGACTGGGACCAAGGCCTCTGGGCGAGACCAGGCCCAGCTACGACTCCGGGGGGCTCTGCTGCTTTTGGCATATGTCAGGTGTCGCGCCGCATGATGCGTGCGGTAATGCAAGCCAGGGCCCCGAAGGGATGCGAGCTGCAGCCTGTCATATGCCACAGCTCGCCGCAGGCCATGTTCCCCGAGAAGAGCGTCGAGCGCATGAACGCCTTGATGCGTGTCGGGGGACCTCCCCAGCTTTCCGCCGCTCAGCAAGTCTCTCAGATTGCTTGGCCAGGCGCTGCATGTCACCCTGCAGATGCTCTTCGATGCTGGCCGATCCGCAAGCCCAGACACCGCGTGCGAGCACTTAGCATCAAACGTCGGATCGAAGGTTCTTCAGTCTTCGCGATGTTTTTGTAATCAGTCAGCAGCAGCTACCCTGGGCAGCCATTGAGCCTGAAGCGTGTAGACATCGAAGCGTGAGATCCTGAAGGACAGTCCCAACTGCAACCCTGAATCACAATGTGCACTTTTTGAGGTACGTCAGCGATCTTTTCTCGGCTTCGGCCCCAGGCAGTTGCTCCCCAATCGAGCTCGGCCTTGTATGAGCTGTGAGGCGACGGCGGATGGCACGCAGAGTCCCCTCATCGAGGAGATGCGCCGGCAGCACCTGCATGAGGCAGGATCCAGCAGGATCCGACTGTCTGTTTATTCCTCCTCACTGCACGGGACATTGGGTGGCGGCACACCACGGCTTTTCCACGCGAATGGTTGTATGCATTTGTTGTTTGCCGTCGCAGTGCTGCAATGCAATATTCCCCAACGCTCTGGGGTGAAAAAAGCGCACATGGCCCGTTCCAGGTGCTCGAGTTCACGGCAGAGATCTCGCAGAACTTGATCAGGTCGGAGAGTCAGAGAACAGCGCGCTCTCCCGCTCGCATTTGTGCTGCAAAGGGCTGCGGGGGGCGAGACACGAGCCATGCCCAAAGCACATGACAGCACGCTTCGCCTTGTTGAAGCCTTGCTTTGCTGTCTGCCGTCCGTTTTGCGCAGACCATGAGGTGAACCTCTCCGGCCGCCTGGACACCTTCATGCTCATCACCAGAGAGGCGATGAGAAGCGGATGAGCTGGTGTAGCCTTGGGCCTTGGGTTTTGACCGGAGAGCGGTCGGGAGGCGACGTCGCAGACTCTCCAGGAAATCGGCCTTCCCGCTTACACCCGAGAGGGTCAGAGATCAGATTACTTGTGTTGCCTCCGCTGTGCCATCTCGCCCTCTCTCGCTGAGGACACTCGTACGTTGTCGATGGCCTGGCACTCACAAGCTTTACAAGCGCAACTATAGTATTCCGGAGAAAGTCCAAGCACCCTGCAGCCTTGCAGCAACAAGGAACAAGCGGAGCAAAACTGATGTCCCCATTGTGCATTCTCGAAATGAAACATCTCAGTCCAACAGAGCACAACGGTTTATTCTAAATCGCGGACGTGCATGCAAGTCACCATGGGAACGTGTTGGTTGATGTTTGGGTGTGCATTTTGGCTCGAGGGCAATTGCTGGTGGTAGTCGGTTGAGTCGGTTGTCCGCTGGGAGATGATGGCACGCATAGCAGCAGTCGGTCTTGCGGCCCTCAGCTTGGCATGCCTTTTGAACCTTGTGAGATGCCTTGAGAGTCTTCGACAGGAAGACTGCTGAGGCCCTGGTGCCCCTGGCCGCCGGGCAGAACAATGCTCTGGTGGCCGAGTTGGAAGCACTCCGAGCGGAAGTTCTTGCACAGCGAGTTCTTATTGAGGTGCAGAGCCTTGCCACCTTCCACTTTCCACTCGCTTTCTTCCTTTTGTTGTTCTGTTCTGTATCCCGTTCAGGAGCAGCAGCAGCGCTACGATTCCATGGTCGAGGATCGAAGGCTTCAGGTGGGCTACGTGAGCACGGCCGACTTCAACACACAGGCGCGGCACTTGCAGCCTTGCAGCGATGCCAGATCTGGGGAGAGAGTGCAAGCTGCACTAGCCAGGTCCAGGAACTGAAGAACACGCAGTACAGCCTGGGCGGTGCGATGGACTCCGCTTGGCTGTGCCTCTGTGGTGCTCTCGTCATGTTCATGCATGCCGGCTTCGCCATGTTGGAGACGGGCAGCTGCCGCGCAAAGAACGCATCCAATGTACTCATGAAGAACTTGGTCAATGTTACGGTGGCTTGGCGTTCTTCTAGCTGGCTCTTAGGACTTTAACATGGTTGTTTGTACATGAACCAACAATAAGTAAGCCAAAAGTTTAACTTCAAGAAGTGTTCAGAAGTCAAAAAAGGTGGGTACACTGGGATGGTGGGCCTTTGGCTGGGCCTTTGCCTATGGCAACCAGGGTGATCCATCTAACGGTTTCATCGGGACCTCTGAGTTCTTCGGCGTGGGATTGTACACCAAAGTTGCGGACACGGATGTTATCACGCCCCTGGCATCCTGCGATGCGGACGGATGCCAGAGCAAGATGCTGAGCTGGTTCTTTCAGCGGCTGGGTTCAGTTAGAGGAAGTCGTTTGAAGTGTCCGCCATGGATGAGCAAACTATGCATTTGCATACTTGTACCTGTTCTGATGGATTAAGCGCCTTTACAAGTGCAAGAAAAACCAGGTGGGCATTCTGCACGGCAGGCGCTACCATTGTGAGTGGTGGCGTGGCCGAGCGAGTGAAGAGCCCCACATACGCGGTGTATGCCTTCTGCATGACCAGTTTCATTTACCCGGTTGTGGTCGCATGGACGTGGGGTTACGGCTGGTTGGACTCAGTGTTGGACGTGGGCTGCCGGGCTGCGTTTGCTTTGGGATTGACGTTATTATCATTATTATTAGTATTAGTATTATTATTATTAATGATTATGATTATGATTATGATTATGATTATTATTATGATTATTATTACTATTATTGTTCTTATTATTTCTTTCTTACGGGGAGTTCCTCGTGCGATGCCAGCAGCCGCGGGTGTTGAATTGTGTGCAGTGTGATACTCGTTAGGTTGTCAGCAGCCTCGTCAATCCTAAGGCTACATGGACTTTGCGGGCAGCGCCATCGTGCATTTGACGGGTGGCGTGAGCGCCCTGGCTGGCACCGTTGTGCTTGGCCCACGGAAGGGTCGCTTCGAGAACCCGGATGAGTTCGAGTGCCACAACTTGCCCCTGGTGGTGCTGGGCACCTTTGCGCTCTGGTTCGGATGGTACGGCTTCAACCCGGGCTCCACACTTGGCATGCACACGGGAGACACCGGGGCAATGGCCGCACAAGTGGCCATGAACACCACGCTGTCCGCTGCCACCGGTGGCATCACCGTCTTTTTGCTGCGCTATGCCATCATGAAGAAGTACGATGTGGGTGGTCTCTGCAACGGCATTTTGGCTGGTCTTGTGTCCATCACCGCTGGGTGTGGCAACGTGGAGTGCGGCAGTGCCGTCGCCATCGGCTTGCTTGGTGGCCTCGTGTACCAGGGCTCGTCCATGCTGTTGCAGAAGCTGAAGATCGACGACCCGGTGGATGCCAGCCCTGTGCACGGCTTCTGCGGCATCTGGGGCGCGCTTGCAGCTGGGCTCTTCGACTGGGGCAAAGGCTTTGACCACTATCACGGTTGGTCCGGCTTCGGGTGCAAGCCAGTGAGCGACACTGACTCAACGTGCATGACAGGCATCGGTGGCACTGCCATCGCTGCACAGCTCATCATGATCCTCGTGATCATCCTTTGGGCAGGAACCCTGTCGGGTCTGGCTTTCTTCGCCCTGAAGATGACCGGCTTGCTGCGGATCGACGAGTACACGGAAGAGGTCGGCATGGATGTCAAACAGCACTCGCCACCGAAGGCCTATGCCATCGGCACAGGATCCCCTGCAAGCCCTGCGGGTGAGGTTGAGAAGACAGTCTAGGCATGTCTAGGCAAAATCGCCTGAGACTTGTCAGCCAGCATTAAATTCAGTCTGTGGAGTGTGGAGCACTTACAGTTTTGGACGTGGGAGTGAAGCTCTCATAGTACAGCGCCATAACTTGGCCTGTAGCTGTCCGAGGCTGCAGCTTTTCGGGTCGCGCATACGATCCCCGTGCGCGCAAGCTCATGAGACTTCACCCTCAAGAAGCAGGGCAGCAAAATGCATGCGCTTCCGCCTGGTAACATCCGGTTAGCAGGGCTCACAATATTTCCTTGGCCGAGGATCGTCTTGTGTCCCTGATGTCCATGAGTGACGTGCATTATCCCAAAACAGTGACAGCGATCGAACGGACATCTCAGTTGGAGACCGTCTGGAAGCCCAGTGAAGATGGCCACGAGCTCCAAGTGGCCGAGGTGGGCTCCCTCACAGCAAGCCACATGGAGCTGTGCTCAGCCTGTCCTATTTCTTGCCTGGCTAGATCCTGGAACGGCTCCGACAGCACACGCTGCTGAAGCGCGAGAACACCTGGGCCGGGGTCACGGTGCTTACCGGAGAAGCAATGGGCTCTTGGAGAGAGCGTCCCAAGACCGATAGCCAACCCCTTTGGGCAGATGCTCGGAATTCCGTGTTCCTGCGTTTCGAACTGGACGGAAGTGCTAACTCTAACTGTCACCTCAAAGAGAGAGTGATCTGGCAGCAACGATTCAGGTCGATGCCCGACAACCACAAATCAGTGCTTGTCAAGCGCACATCAACACACCCGCACAAGGGAAGCTAAACACCCCGAGATAGCGAGGGAGTATGTCACGATACGGGGCCACTGAAGAGTTGCCCGAAAGTAGGCTGAGCGAGGACAGATAGGACCAGGACAACAATGAGCCCGCGAAGCGTAAGCTCGAAGTATGTCTGGGAGGATTTGTTGAGGAATTGGAACGATGCCCACCCGCGCTGTACTTAGTTTTGTTCCGCTGCAAAGGTCTCAAACTCCAGGTACTGGCAGGTGCAGCCCTTTTGGCTGCCATGGAGGGGGACTGGAACCCGGTTTCGCTAGACCTCCTGTCGGAGGGGCTTCTGGCGACAGACTTAGAAGAGCTGACTCAAGGGCTTCCGGCGACACAGACGCAAGGGCTTGCAGCTCACAGCTAGGTGAGCTGACGCCAGCCACACTGCTGGATGCAGAGACGCCCTCCACGGACGCAGCTGTGACTCCTGGAAGCGACCGACGACGACTACCAGCAGGCCAGCGACGACTCCAGCACGCGGCTCCCACCAGGAGCAGAAGCGCTCTAACTCGTGTTGGAAGCAGGACTCAGAGACGTTAAAGATCGTGTAAGGAGCCAACGCCCAGGCAAAGCTACAAGTCCAGACTCTTGGACGGGTCTTTTGGCAAGGACGGGACTTGACCACCAGACTTCTTGAAACGGTCTTCTTCGAACCCGTCGAGTGCTGCTTGGAGTTGCGGTGCCGTCCGCAGACTCCTGTACCGGAGTTGCTCGAGCAACGTCTAATCGGCTTCCAGGTGGTAGATTTCGTTGGAAGAAACCTCTTCTGGCCTGACACACCATGCCGGACAACAGCGCTTCATAATATGGAGGAACGAAGCTTTCCAAGAGCATTGCTGCTTGCCCAGCGCAGCATGTCACCACCACCACCACTAGGAGCTGTTCCAAATTCGTGCCGGTGGAGTTGAAAAGGTGCACCTTGTGGTCCTGCAGACGCTCTTGGAAGAGCTTCTTTTGAGAGACCTCCAATGTACTTCCGCGGCAGCCTCCGACGCCCGCCTGGCAAGTTCCTCAAGGTCAGGATTGCTTCACTGCTGCTCCGCGGTCGCCAAAAAGTGCCAAAGAGAACAACCACTACAGAAGCGTTCGCAGGATCACAAGGTGCACCTTTTCAACTCCACCGGCACGAACTTGGAACAGCTACTAGTGGTGGTGGTGACATGCTGCGCTGGGCAAGCAATGCTCTTGGAAAGCTTCGTTCCTCCATATATGAAGCACTGTTGTCCGGCATGGTGTGTCAGGCCAGAAGAGGTTTCTTCCAACGAGTTCTACCACCTGGAAGCCGATTAGACGTTGCTCGAGCAACTCCGGTACAGGAGTCTGCGGACGGCACCGCAACTCCAAGCAGCACTCGACGGGTTCGAAGAGAACCGTTTCAAGAAGTCTGGTGGTCAAGTCCCGTCCTTGCCAGAAGACCCGTCCGAGAGTCTGCACTTGTAGTTTTGCCTGGGCGTTGGCTCCTTACACGATCTTTGACGTCTCTGAGTCCTGCTTAGCCGAGGCTTCCTAGGGGCAACGGTCGTCGACCGTGGATTTCTCGACGCATTGTGCTGCGAGCAGGCTCCGCGTGGACCAAAGCGCGCAGGTCGATTCTATTTCGTGTTGGCATGTGGAAAGTTTGTGCGTGTGTGTGTGTGTGTGAACTCCTCTCGTACA